GGCAATAGCCGAGGGCAACTCTTACTCTTCTTTCAACCATTCTTGTGAAAATGAGTTTAATTTGCATGTGAATGAAAACTTATAATCACATGAAAGTATAAGCACCAGGACTCGTTTTGAAAATGAGGCCAAGGGTAATTCGGAAATGGGCTATTGAAACGAATCGTGACGGCGCTGATGCCGAGTCTCCTTTTTCCGTTGTTTTTCTCTTTCTCTGCCTCATTTAAGTACTCTAGCCCAAGGGAAAAAGTCGAAAAATTGTCTTCGTTTTGGGACTAGTTGGCCGAGTCTCTGTTTGTATCCACAATTGTCGCGAAATATATTATTTTTCACCGCGCTTACAATGGCCGCTCGCGCGAAAAAAAAATTTTTCTGGCGAAGCGATTTGCTGACGCTATCAGCGTGCACTATCGGGATTTTGAGCACGCTTACGTTTAATGAATTTGATTGCGCGGCTCTGCTAGCTATGTTCTAAGAAGTACTATCGTTCGTGTCTCTGATTGGACGAACGATGTACTTTTACAGTCGCTTGCCTTCAATCTTTGAAATGTGTTGTCCAGTAAGAAACATTCTCAGTATGTATGAAATAAAAACATCATAACATAGAACGTAATTGTACGATTTTTATTCACTCATTGCGATGCATAAAAAAATTCACTTATTTACTGCGCCCACTATTTGCTTTTTTTTTTTCTAATTCTACTTTTAATTTTTTAATACATCGCAACTCGTGAATAAAAATCGTTCCCACGCACTTTCCATGGAATAATCTCCATACGAAAAAATTACAAATGACTTTGGCTTCTGCCATGTTGGAATTTGTCCATTTTGCCGTAATAAAAACGCCGATGGACACATTGTCGAGGATTTCGAATGAAACTTTCACACTCCAAGGTGAGTGTTCACTGATGCACAAACGGTGACGTCATGGTACCTTACCTTATATCATTCCTTGGAACGAGGTCAGCCAAGTTCACTGTTGGTGCAGCATTACCCTCTCCTCCCCCTCCTCCACCATCTCCTGCATCTTCCCCTCCCTCCTCAGTGTCACCTCCACTAGGAGACAAGCCTAGTGTGGGAGCTGGGGGTTTCTCATCTTTCACCTAACATGCAACCACAAATTAATAATCTCCCTACAAAGCCTATGTTGCAAACCTACATACAATAAGGCAGC